TACTCCAGGTATAACTCCCAATGCAGTCCCTCCCCCTCCCCCTCCCGTGATAGGCCCGGTGTGTATGTTCCCCTTCCTGAGTCCAAGTGATCTCATTGTTCAGTTCCCGACTATGAGTGAGAACATGCGGTGTTTGGTTTTCTGTTCTTGTGATAGTTTGCTAAGAATGATGGTTTCCAGCTGCATCCATGTCCTACAAGGACACAAACTCATCCTTTTTATGGCGCTGGGAGTTGGAGACTGGAGCTGTTCCTATTTGGCCATCTTGCTCCGCCCCCCTATGATCAATATTTTTTTACACAAGTTGGATACTCCAGTTTCCCATCCTGGCATGTTGTTCACAATGCATGAGAGTTTGGTGAGAGATAATATCCAGATCTACACACAAATTCAACTGGTTCACCTGTTCTTGAATAAAGTTTCTGTTTGGCTACCCATTTAAATGTTATGTTATATTTTTCCAGAATTTCTGGGGATATTAGACACGCATCTGAAAATAGAAAACAGTAAACATAAAAACATTAACTATTATGCAAATCTTCATAGACTTTCAGGTTTTCAAGTAGAATGTTATATGATGGTTCAGGAATTATTTCTCAAAACACTATCCAAACTGACTATGTAAAAACATCATATTGATTTACATAAAGTTAAAATGGTAAACAATGTAAAAACGAGATACTATGTTTAATGTATGAGAATTAGAGGTGTATTATCAATGATTCATTACATCAATTGTCATTTTAGGATCCCTGCGTTTTAGAACCTATCATTGCTGTTTTTTGTTGATTAAGACCTTGGTCAAAGAGTACAAACTTTCAGCTATAATATGAACAAGAACTGGGAATCAAACGTAGAGATCTAGTGATATTTATAGCTAATAATATTGTACTATTTATTTGAAAATTGGTAAGGAAACAGATTTTAAGTGTCCTAACCACAAACACACACACACATACTCACACACCCACCTACACACAATGATAAGCATAGGTGATGAAAAATGTGCTAATTAATTTGATTGTGGTAATCATTGTATTCCAAATATATCAAAACAGTATATTGTCAAACTTGAAAATATTTTTGTTTGTCAACTAAATGTTTTAACATAAAATGTAAATATAAAGAGAAAGATTTCCTTTCTTTCTTTTTTTTTCTTTTTGAGATGGAGTCTTGCTCTGTTGCCCAGGGTGTAGTTCTGTGGGCCCAATCTCGGCTCACTGCAAGCTCTGCCTTCTGAGTTCAGGCCATTCTCCTGTGTCAGCCTCCCGCCTAGCTGGGACTACAGGCGCCCACCACCCTGCAGGGCTATTTTTTTTTGTATTTTTAGTAGAGATCGGGTTTCAGTGGGTTAGCCAGTATGGTCTGGATCTCTTGACCTCGTGATCCGCCCACCTCGGCCTCCCACACTGCAGGATTATAGGCCTAGGCTACCCTCCCTGCCGTAAAGAAAAATTTCTAAAGTTTGCTTTCTAACATAAATATTTGGTAGGCAAGCATTCAGCAGAATGGTTATACAATAATCTGTGATTATTTTGTTACAAACAGCGAAATATCAGACTCATCACACTGATTTTTCCAGGGTCCATGCGAATATTAAAGTACTTACGTAAGCATTTTGGTGGTTCTGACCATTGTCCATTTCTACATGTTACTCGCTTGTTACCCTCAAGATGATACAAGTTCTGGCATTGATACTCAACTGATGAATCTGGAGCATATAGTGACAACGGGAATGAAGTAATGTCTCTGTTGTCAATAGGTGGAGGGGGCCCACACTTTCTTGTAGAATCTAAAGAACATCATTTCATCACTTGATTTATTGTGAGAGCAAATCAAAATATAAGTTCAAATAAGGCAAATACAAACACAGCACTTCATATCATATCAACAATTTTGTGATTTCTGGTGAAAGAAATGATTCCTGGAAGAAATTTTACTTCTACAAACTGAAAGTAATATATTTAAGTTATTTTTGCCTTACTGAAGAAACACATAAAACATTAAGAAATATTGCCACTTATAGTAGACCAGAAATAAGAAATGTCTTTTCGAATGAATACATGCTAAACATAGAAAACTATGACAAAGGAAGTTTCTTATTTTGTATTCAACTTTCTTTGGAGTGACACTAAGAGGATACAGGTTTTGAAATTGATGATGGTTTTCAAAAACCCAATAGGAGTTATAAAATTGAAAAATTTGAAAAAAAATTTTTAAAAACATTTGATAGGCTTAATAATACATTGTGAGCTAACAGACAATTTAATCCATAAACTTGAACATACAGCAATATAAATTACCCACTCTGAAAAAGATTGAAAACAAAAAACTGAACTGAGACATTTAGAAAAATACAACAACAAAAAATAATGCAGATCCATAAAAAGAAGAGAAAGGGTATTAGGTTCGAAAAATGAATAAATAAAATAATGGCTGAAAACTTCCCATTTTGTACATAAGGTATAAACTTACATATTTAAGAAGCTGAGTGAACTCCAAAGAGGATAAACACATTGGAATTTATACCAAATATACGTCAAAATAAAACTACTTTTAAAAAGAACAAAATATTTTGAAGGCAACTAGACAAAAACTATGCCTTTCCTCTAGGGGATCAACAATGTCAATGATGGTGAGTTTTTCATCTATAACCATGTGGCACAGTTATCAAGTGTTTAAAGAACTGTCATACTAAATTTTATATCCAGTGACATTATCCTTTACAAGTAAAGGGGTAAATATAGACATTCTCAGAAAAAGGGAAACCAAGAGAATTCGTCTCCAGTAGACCTATGCTTAAAGATTAACTAAAGGAATTCTTCAAATTAAAATAAAAAGATAAAAGAAAGAGCTTGAGACTTTAGGAGACTGAAAGAATAGAACAATATAATAGATAAAAAGAGGAATCAGGCCGGGCACGGTGGCTCAAGCTTGTAATCCCAGCACTTTGGGAGGCCGAGACGGGCGGCTCATGAGGTCAGGAGATCGAGATCATCCTGGCTAACACGGTGAAACCCCGTCTCTACTAAAAAATACAAACAAAAACTAGCCGGGCAAGGTGGCCGGCACCTGTAGTCCTAGCTACTCCGGAGGCTGAGGCAGGAGAATGGCGTAAACCCGGGAGGCGGAGCTTACAGTGTGCTGAGATCTGGCCACTGCACTCCAGCCCGGGTGACAGAGCAAGACTCTGTCTCAAAAAAAAAAAAAAAAAAAAGAGGAGTCAATATAACAAGCTTTTTCCTCATATGTTTTTTCAATTATGTTTGATGTTTGAAGCAAATGAGTTTAATATGGTGCTCAATATATGTATGGAAAATACTAGTGGCATTTGTACTTAAAACACGGAGAGTAAAATTGGATCTACATGAAAGTAAGGTTTCCATATTCCAGTTGAAGATTTAAATGTCAGTACCAGTAGACAGTAATATATTATTATATGTATATAGTATTAGCTAAAGCAACAACTTTTTTTACAAAAGGTAAAAAGTTATACAAGGGATACAATCAAAAACAATACATATGAATCAAAATTAATCTTTTTTAAAGATTTCCCCACAGGGAATGGAGGAATAGGGTAATAGGGCTGAAAACCAGAGGAAGCAAACAGAAACTAATAAATGACAGAGGTTTAAGTCCTATATATCGGTAATTATTTTAAGTGTGAATAGTCCAAGTGCACCAGTTAACAGGCCAAGAAAGGCAGAATGGATATGTAAATAAGACCGAAGCCAAGGGAAATTGGTATTCTGTGATTTATTTGGCAAATGTTTTCTTTACATGATTATTTTAAAGGAAATCACAGCCAGTTTGCACAAACGCAGGAAACACTCCAATATATATCTGCTGTATTCATTTAAGTATATTTAAATTTTTCTGCTTATTTTCACAACATGGTTTGAGGAATTTACATTTTATTAAATTGAGAAGTATTGTGATTCACTGATAATTGACTGTACATTGATAATATAACGTTGATATCTCCATCTGAAGATGAAGCTAAGTCTTGTTAATTATATGACCACTACAAAGTAGATAAATAACCTGACTAAAGTACAGAGTCTAGCATGAAGAGCAAAATAGTAACATTATTAGGAATAACTTGAGCCAGACAAACTTGAGACAGAAGCAAGGAAGGAAGGAAGGAGGGAAGGAAGGAAGGAAGGAGTGAGGAAGGGAGAGAAAGAAGGAAGGAAGAAAGAAAGAAAGAAAGAAAGAAAGAGAAAGACAGAAAGAAAGAAAGAGAAAGAAAGGAAGGAAGGAAGGAAAGAAAGAAAGAAAGAAAGAAAGAAAGAAAGAAAGAAGAAAGGAAGGAAGGGAAGGGAAGAGAAAAAAGAAAAAGAAAGGTAAAGAAAGAAAGGAATAAAGGAAAAAGAGTGACAGATAAAAAGAAAGAAAGAGAAGGAAGAGAAGGAAACAGAGAAAAAAAGAAGAAAGAGAAAAATAAAGAAAGAAAAAAGGAAAAATAAAGGAAGAGAAGAAAAGAGAAAAAAGAGAAAGAGAAAGGGAGAAAAAAAGAAAAAAGAGAAAGAAGAGAAAAGTAGAATAAAGGAAAAAGGAAAGGAAAGGGAAGTAAAAGGGAGAAGGACAGGGAAAGGGGAAGGAAAGGAAAGGAAAGGAAAGAAAGGAGAGGAGAGGAGAAGAAAGGAAAAGAGAAAGGAAAGGAGAAAGGAAAGGAGAAAGGAAAAGGGAAAGGAAAGGAGAAAAAATGTAGTTGACTCTTTCAACAGCTGAAAGAAGAAAGAAAGGAAGCAAGGAAACAAGAAAGGAAGGAAAGAAGGAAGGAAGGATGGAATGAAGGAAGGAAAGGAAGGAAGGAAGGAAGGAAAAAAGTAAGAAAAATAAAAAGGAAATAAGTAGTTGACTCTACAATTAGCTCCAAAACCAAAGCAAGGGGCATAAACCTTGATTGAGTTGGTTGATATCAGCAGAAATTGCACATCTAATCAAGCCTTGTTGTTAGCCTCAAGTAATCTACAAAGAAAAAAATAAAAGTAATGGGATCATCTGACACAAAATGATGAGATACGTAAAAGAGACTGATGAAGAAAAAAGACTGGGGTGAAAGGTCATCATTAGAATGAAAAGCCATATCCATACTTATTGTAAACCTATATTAATTAAAATTCAGGAGATGGAGGTTGCAGTGAGCCAAGATCCCACCAATGCACTCCAGCCTAGGTGACAGAGTGAAATTCTGTCTTAAAATAAAATAAATAAATAAAATTCAATAGAGGATTACTGGAATGCTGATTAAAAAATTGTTTACTAATACTGTAGAACAGAGTATTCAGAATAAAAGTCATTGTGTGTGTGTATGCCTGTGTGTGTATACACACACAATGTACAAAATATACAACATAACATATATTGTATGAGAAAGGTACCATAAAAACTGTTACGGAAATGTTGAGTTTATCGTATTTTATTTAAAAATGAAATACAGCTGTTATCAAGAAAATAAAAAATATTTTTTAAGTACGAAAAGATAACATATGACATTTTAGAATAAAGAATGCTATAATGGCTCTGTGCTTTTGAAAATGTATTCCTTTAAAAAGAACCGAAAAACATTCATCATGAAAAAAGACTGACAATTATTTAGTAAAATGAGCAACTTATGTTCCTAATGCAGAAAACAGGAAAGAACAATACTAGCCACAAAAAGAATGCATTTGCATTACATATAATTAAAGATATTTTATATTCAGAATTATTAAGATGATTCCAACTAATAAATACCAAAACTCCCAAAAAGGTAAATCAAAAAACATCAAACTGTATTTCGAAAGATTAGAATCATTAAATACCAATTGAATTGTAAACATATATTGCAAATCCAGTTGGTAGTAAAAGAAATGCAAATTTACACTACAATGCTGTAACATTTTATAGCCACTCAACTTGTAAATATTAAAATGTGACATCACCAATCATTAGCAACATGTAAAAAAGGAAGGAACTGTTGATATAAATGTATATTGGAATAAATACTGTAGGAAACCTTCTAGAGTCGAATATGCACAATATCCCAGGACACCCATTTGTAATTAATGTTCTTGGTGCGAGATGACCAACCTCGAGTATTGACCCCAGACACTGATGCTGCTTCGATATGACTTTATTTAGCCAACAAGTATTGTGTCCTAACTCTTTTACTGTATTCTTGACTAATACTCATTAATAGGAGCATTTATTTTGCTATGTACTTATCAAGAAATTTGTATATTCACACAATTAAAAAGTAAAACTAAATAAGTCCGTTGGCAAAACGAGTTGACAAAAACATTTTGTCACAGTTAATATGGATGAGTTTGAGAATGTCATCTGTGTTACTTAGAAAGACATGAACATGCTGGGATCTCAGAGCAGTGTACTTACTGACACGGATGCATCTGGGAGGAGGAGACCAGCCATGCTCAGTACATGTAACTGTGGTCTGCTCTTTTGGAAGACCATAGCCAGGATGGCAGGCAACTTCTATAGAGTTACCCTGTACAAACTTTCTTCCATTATTTTCATTATATCCATTTTCCAAATAAGGAAAATAACATTTTCCTAAGGACCATAACAAGGATAAATAAATAAAGTAAATGAGAAGCATAAATTTACTCAAAATAGTATATTAAAATTATTACCATATTAGAGTGCATAAACATCAAAAAATAATATATAAATAAGTATGAACTAAAATTATTAACAAAAGTTTTCACAAAAAGAAATACCAACATTGAAGATTACTTATCTTTAGTTTAAATAATTAAAATATGTATAAACTATATAGATATTCTCATAAAGTCTCTATATTTATTTCTCATATGATTTTCAAGAACTCCTCATAATAGAAAAGATCTATTCTCGTCATTTTGCTTGAACAACTCTTTTCTTGGCCCTATTTCTGTTACATAAGACAAGAGTAATCACTTATGTGCTCTCCTTTCTTTAATCTTTGAAAGTTTTATGCATGTATAGCTGTCCAGAAGTTTACTTACTGAGGCATGGTACTGCTGGTGACCACCCATCTTGTGTGCAATGAATGTAATCCCAGTAACTTCCTGAAGGAGTCTCAAAAGATTCATCACAGTGATAGGAGAAATATTTTCCTACAGGTACTGGAAAGTATGGTCTACGCATGCTCTCATAATACAGACTTCCATGTTTAATGTCGGGAAAATGACAAGGTCTCACTTGCAATAAAAAACAAACAAAAAATATACATATTTTTTACTGTAATAACTCATATTAGAGATAAATTTTGATATCACCTTCTCTCAAACATTTTCTTCTGGAATTACAGCAACCATGACTAGTTTCCTGATCCTGACCGCTCATCTTTATAATCTATTTTTCTTTGTATAAATTAATAACCCATCATCTGGCCATTTTATTTCTCCATAAAATCCTTAATGGATCCGAAATCAATTAACAGGACAAGAAGAACCTCATTCCACTTTCTCTAATTCTACTCACGTAGTATGGTCTCTTCAGCAATTCTGGAGGTTTTATCAGCATTAATTTAAACTGAGCTTATCTAACTCTATACCAAGTTATGCTAAAGCTGTCCGTTCAGGGTGTACACATTGGCATTAATTGTTTTTTGGAAAAGAGAAACAAGAAATACGACTCTAACATTAAAAAAAAAATCAGAAATGTAGCAAATTATCTTCAGAAATAAAACATTTTGTTGAGTTTCATGGCATTTTGTTTGTATTCGATGGCATGCATTCTTACCATAGTGCGAACTCATGTATCGGATGAGATATATTATTAACATAAAAAATATGGGTGCATACATGAATGTTCAAAATATATATATATATATATATATTTATACTTACACCATAATTTAAATAGGATATAATTTATGTTTCTTCTATAATTCTGGAACAAGTGATAGAAATAATATTCACAACCTATTTATTGTGAAAACTTAGAATGTAACTAAATAAAAATCTTTAAGTTTGAATCATCATAAATCAGAACTGGAAGGAGGCTAGCGGCACAACAGCTTTAGCGTGCAGATGAGAAGACTAAGTTCAGAGAAGTGACATCTTTACTTAGTGGGAAGCGTTTGCTAGTTACATAACTGGCTCCAGAGGCTTGTTGGGTGACGCATGACAGCTTCTTTGACCCAGCCCCTCAAGCATGGATGCAGAGTTTTCTGCTGAGTGTCTCTTCCATATGGAAAATCTAACCTTCCCTGCTCTGTATAACCTCCTGAGAAACTTTTACATTTTCTTATGATTGCAGGATATTCAGTCTGAGGAAGAAAGGGACATATATTAAAGGAAATCATTTTTCTTTTTTTTTTTTTTTTTTTTTTAACAGTCTTGCTCTGTCGCCAAGGCTAGAGTACTATGGCACGATCTCAGCTCACTGCAACCTCTGCCTCCCAGGTACAAGTGATTCTCCTGCCTCAGCCTCTTGAGGAGCTGGGATTACAGGTGTGTACCACCACACCCGGGTAAGTTTTTGAATTTTCAGCGTTCCATCATGTTGGCCAGGCTGGTCTCCAACTCCTGACCTCAAGTGATCCACACGCCTTGGCCCCGCAAAGTGCTGGGTTTAAGGCATGAGCCCCCGGCTCGGTCAAAAATTACTTTTCTTAGTCAACGATAATTTCGAACCTGTAGTGAATTTTTCATGGTTTAGTTTGTTTCTAAAAATCGTTTTTCCCACTAAAAGTCACTGGAATTTCATAGAGAAACTATTGGAACTTGGTCCGTAGTAGGAAAAATCAAGGAAAGCCTGGGACCTTTTGTTATGCCAAAGCTTAATGGGGACATGTGAAATATACACAGAAGCCAGCTTCTTAGTGAGATTTGAAACAGATTTGAGCGTCCCAAAGAAGTACAATGGCAATTGATTGTAATGCATTGGGTACTGAAAATGATCAGTTTAAAAGGGATTTAGAAGCAACCCTGCTCTACAATACTACTTGTCACCCTTGACACTTTGTTTTGGCAACTCTAATAGATGAATGTACAATTTATACAACTCTAAAAGGATATTCAAAATTAAAAATAATGTTCTTGACACCCTATTTTTAAATAAATGTAAATAACTTATGAGTTGATGAAAGAAATATTGGTCAATACAAATTCAATGAACATTATAATAAGTTACAATTACAAATTTTCTGTCAAGTTTATCTTTCAACTAGTGTGGCTTCCAAAAGAATTGGCATGTTGATTTTATTGTTCAGAACTGAAACATCAACTACCATTAAAAAAAAATTTCTTAGCATAAGAAACTCACAAAGTATATCATTCATTAATCATATGAAAACTATTTGTTGATTTGAATTACTAGATTATGAACATAGATGAATACAGATAATATGTAAACATAAAGTATTCAACAAGACAAAAATTAGCAAGGACAATACACCCAAGATATTATTACCAAATTCTGATTCCCTTAAATCTTTAAACTGTTCAATGACGACAAGTGAGTAATGTAGCATTCTGAGAATAAAGCCCCGCATCTGATAATTAGATATGGTTATATTAATGAAATAGAAACTGAAAACCATAGTAACTGATCACATCTCCCTTGTGCCATAGAGAACTCCAGATGGTCAATGTAAATGTTAACAATTGAAATCCAGATATAGTTGGATCTCAGTTGGGTCCAGAATACATTTGAGCTGAACTACATTGTCACAAGTCAACCATCAACAAATGATTAAAATACTTGGACCCATAAAAATGATTTAATATTTGGAACTATTGGATACTTGGTCTGAGTAGGAAAAGTCAAGAAAGCCTGGAACCCTTTCGTTATGCCGAGTTTAAATGGGACACGTGAAATATACACAGAAGGCCAGCTTCTTAGTGGATTTGAAACAAATTTAGCGCCACCAAGAAGTAAAATGAACAATTGATTGTAATCATTGGGTATAATGGAAAATGATCACGTTTAAAGCGAGATTTAGAAGCAAAAGTCTCTAGATGACTTACAGAGAGACTCTAGACTCCATAAAACAAGTATGGGAGACTTAAACACCCCACATGTCAACATTAGACAGATCAATGAGACAGAAAGTTACATCAGGATATCCAGGGAAATTGGAACTCAACTCTTGTAGCCAAGCGGATCTAATAGACATCTACAGACCTCTCCATCACAAATCACATACGTATCACATTCTTCGTCAGCACCGCACATCACACTTATCCAAAATTGACCACAAGTAGTGGAAGTAAAAGCTACTCCTCAGCAAATGTCAAAAGCAGAAATTAAACAAATCGTCTCTCAGACCCACAGTGTTAGTCAAACTGGAACTCACGACCTGCAAACTCAATCAAAATTGCTCCAACTTACATGGAAACTGACAACACCTGATCCCTCAAAATAACTATGAGTACATAAATAAACTGAAGGCAGAAATAAAGATGTTCTTTGGAAACCATGAGAACAAAGAATAAGAACATACAGAATCTCATAGGACACATTTAAGCAAGCGTGGTGACGCGAAATTTACCAAACACTAACCTGCCCACAAGAAAAGCAGGAAAGGATCTAAAATGACACCCCTAACACATCACAAATTAAAAGAACTAGAGAAGCAAGAGCAAAACTACATTCAAAAGCTTAGCAGAAGCAAGAAATAACTTAAGGATAAGAAGCAGAAAGATAGAGATAAGAACAAAACACTCCAAAAAAATCAGAATCTCAGGAGCTGGGTTTTCTGAACATGATTAACAAAATTGATAGACTTGTTACGCACAGACATATAAAAGAGAAAAGAGAGAAGAAACGAAAGATGCCAATAATAAATTATAAAGGGACTATCACCACTGACCCCTGACCAGAAATACAAATACCATCATAGAATACTATAACACCATCCTTAGTAAATGACTATAAACTTAGAAGGAAAGATAATTTCCTGAACACTTACCACTCTCCCACAGATACTAAACCAGAGAAAAGTTGAATCCCTGAATAGGACCAATAAGCAGGCTCTTGAAATTGAGGCAATAATTAATAGCCTACCAAATCAAAAAAAAGTCCAGGACCAGAGCGGACATTCACACGCCAATTCTACCAGAGATACAAGAGGAGTTGGTACATTCATTCCTGAAACCTTCCAATCAATAGAAAAAAGGAATCTCTCTAACTCATTTAATAGTCACACTCACCCTGAGACCCACAGCCTGACGGAAAGACAACACAAAAAAGAGAATTTTAGACCAATATCCCTAATGAACATTGCGTTGCAAAATCCCAAACAATACTGGGAAACCAAATCCAGCAGCACATCAAAGATTATCCACTACATTAGTCAAGTGGCGCTATCATGCCCGGCAGGGCACAGGCTATGGCGTTTCGACAGTACCAAATCAACATGAAACGCAATCCAGCAATATAACAGAACCAAAGACAAACAACCACATGATTTATCCAATAGATTGCAGAAGGCCTTGACAAAATTCAACAAGCCCTTCATTGCTAAAAACTCTCAGTAAATTCGGTATTGATGGAACATATCATCAAAATCAGCTAAGAGCTATTATGCACAACACCCACACACAACCAGTATCACACTGATGAGCAAAAGAACTGGAAGCAATTCTTTTGAAAAACAGGATGCTCTTATTACAGGTTGGAAGTTCTGGCTAGGCGAACTCAGGCAAGAGAATGAAATCAAGGGTATTCGGTTTACGCTGAAAGAAAGAAGTCCAACATGTCCCTATTTGCAGATACACCTGATGTATATTTAGAAAACCCCATTGCTCAGCCAAAATCTCGCCTTAGCTATAATCAACTTTCAGCAAAGTCTCAAAGATACCAAAATCAATGTCAAAACAATCCACAAAAGTCATTCTATACCACGGCCAGTAACAGACCGACACACAGAGCAGCCAAATCATGATCGCAATCTCAATCCAATTTGGTTAATAGGAACATAAACATAACCTAGATCCACTACTAAGCGGATGGTACACAGGACCTTCTTTCAAGGAGAATACAAACCACCACTGGCCACCTGACATACAAAGAGGACACAAACGAAGATGCGAACGCAACATTACCATGCTCTCGTAGGCAGCACAAAGTATTTTAAAACAACATGGCCATGACGCTTCACGCGTAATTGTACAGATTTCAATGCCATCCCCAGTCAGCTCCCAATGACCTTTCCGTGTCGACAGCAGGAAGGTGGCAAAAAAACACGATTTAAAGTTCATATGGAACCAAAAAAGACCCTGCATTGCCAAGACAATCCTAAGCCAAAAGAACAAAGCTAGAGGGATCATGCTACCTGACTTCAAACTATACTACAAGGCTACAGTAACCAAAACAGAGATATATGGTACTGGTACCAAAACAGAGATATAGACCAATGGAACAGAACAGAGTCCTCAGAAATAATACCACACATCTGCAGCCATCTGTTCTTTGACAAATCTGACAAAAACAAGAAATGGGGAAAGGATTCCCCATTTAATAAACAGTTCTGGGAAAATTGGCTAGCCATAAGTAGAAAGCTGAAACTGGATCCTTTCCTTACTCCTTATAAGAAATTAATTCAAAATGGATTAGAAACTTAAATGTTAGACCTAATGCCATAAAAACCCTAGAAGAAAACCTAGGTAATACCATTCAAGACATAGACATGGGCAAGGAATTCATGTCTAAAACACCAAAAGCAATGGCAACAAAAGCCAAAATTGACAAATGGAATCTTATTAAACTAAAGAGCTTCTGCACAGGAAAAGAAACTACCATCAGAGTGAACAGGCAACCTACAGAATGGGAGAAACATTTTGAAATCTACTCATCTGACAAAGGGCTAATATCCAGAACCTATAAAGAAATCAATCAAATTTACAAGAAAAAAACAAACAACCCCATCAAAAAGTGGGCAAAGAATATAACAGCCACTCTCTCAAAAGAAAGGCATTCAGCACACGCCATACAGACACATGAACAAAATGGCTGCGACTCGACCACGCCTATCAGAGAAATGCGAGAGATCAAACCACATGCAGATGCCATCTCCACACCAGTTAGAATGGCAATCATTTAAAAATCAGGCAAACTCAACAGGTGCTGAGGGCATGTGGAGAAAATAGGAACAACTTTCCACCTGTTGCGTGGACTGTCAACTACCTTCAACCACTGTGGAAACAATGTACGATTTCCTCAAGATACTAGAACTACAGAAATACCATTTGACCCCAGCATTCCATTATGCGGAGGCATTACCAGATTATAAATCCATGCATGCTATAAACGAACACAGGCAAACGTGCTGTATATTGCCCAGCACTATTCACAATAGCAAAGACTCTGGACAACCCAAATGTCCATCAGTGAGCATGACTGGATTAAGAAATGTTGCACATATACCCTATGGAATGCAATGCGCCATAAAAAAGGATTGAATTAGGTCCTTTGCGTAGGGACATGCGATGCAGCTGAAACCAGCGACCAAGAAAAAAAAAGGACACAGAACACAAAACACACGGCCACTAAACTCCCGACAACACGAACCAACCACCAAAACAAAAAACCACAACACACAAAAAATCATTTCTCAGAAACAATGAGCGAAAGAACAGGTACCACGCATGTTCACTCATGAGGAGAGCTGAACAAGAACAATCCACTTGAAACACAGGAATGGGACACATCAACACACTGGGCCCTATTGCTGGGAGCGGGGAGGGAGAGGGATAGCCCTATTAGGACGACATACCTAGATGTACACTGACGAGTGTAGATGGGTGCAGCCACACAAACATTGGCCACATGTGTACCATATGTAACAACACCATGCAGGTTCGTGCACATGTACCCTAGAAACTTAAAGTATAATTTAAAAAAAAAATGACATAAAACAACTAATCTATTATACAAATATGTAGAATTTGTCCATAGACGCTTTTCAGGTTTCAAGTAGATGTTAAATGATGGTTCAGCGAATTATTTTCAAAACTATCCAACAGACTATGTAAAAACCATCAGATTTTTCAAAATAATGTTAAAATGGCAAAGGATGTAAAAATGAGGTATTATGTTTAATGTATGAAAATTACAGGTGTATTATCAATGATTCATTACATAAACTGCCATTTTAGGATCCCTGCATTTTAGAACTTATCATTGCTGCTTTTTTTGATTAAGATATTGCTCAAAGAGTACAAACTTTCAGCTATAATATGAATAAGAACTTGGAATCAAACATAGAGATCAAGCGATGTTTATAGCTAATAATACTGTATTTATTTTAAAATTGGTAAGAAAGATATTAAGTGTCCTCACCACCTTTACACACACACATACTCCCACACCCACCTACACACAATGATAACCATAGGTGATGAAGAATGTGCTAATTAATTTGATTGTGGTAATCATTGTATTATAAATATATCAATACAGCATATTCTCAAACATGAAAATATATTATTTTTATTTGTCAACTAAATGTTTTAAAATTATAAATATAAAGAGAAAATTTTCCCTTCTTTTTTTTTTTTTTTTCTTTTTGAGATGGAGTCTCACTCTGCCGCCCAGGCTGGAGTGCAGTGGCAAGATCTTGGCTTACTGCAAGCTGAGCCACCCGGGTTCACGCCATTCTCCTGTCTCAGACTCCTAACTACCTGGGACTACAGGCACCCACCACCACACCCAGATCTCTTTTTTGTATTTGTACTAGAGACAGGGTTTCACCATGTTAGCCAGGATGGTCTGGATCTCCTGATCTCGTGATCTGCCCGCCTCAGCCTCCCAAACTGCTGGGATTACAGGCCTGAGCCACCGTCCCTGCCGTAAAGAAAAATTTCTAAAGTTTGCTTTCTAACATAAATATTTGGTAGGCAAGCATTCAGCAGAATGGTTATACAATAATCTGTGATTATTTTGTTACAAACAGCGAAATATCAGACTCAACACACTGATTTTTCCAGGGTCCATGCGAATATTAAAGTACTTACGTAAGCATTTTGGTGGTTCTGACCATTGTCCATTTCTACATGTTACTCGCTTGTTACCCTCAAGATGATACAAGTTCTGGCATTGATACTCAACTGATGAATCTGGAGCATATAGTGACAATGGGAATGAAGTAATGTCTCCGTTGTCAATAGGTGGAGGGGGCCCACATTTTCCTGTAGAATCTAAAAAACATCATTTCATCATTTGATTTATTGTGAGAGAAAATCAAACTATGAGTTCAAATAAGGTAAATATAAACACAACACTTTATATAATATCAACAATTTTGTGATTTCTGGTGAAAGAAATGAATCCTGGAAGAAATTTTAACCCTTTAAACTGAAAGTAATATATTTAAGTTCTTTTCTCCTTAAGGAAAGAACACATACAACATTACCAAATATTGCTGCTTACAGTAGACCAGGATTAAGAAATGTCTTTCTGAATGAATATATGCTAAACATAGAAAACTATGACAGAGGAAGTATCTTATTTTGTATTCAACATTCTTTGGAGTAACACTAAAGGACAGAGGTTTTTAAATTGATAATGGTTTTTAAAAATCACTTAAGAATTACAAAATGAAAAAGCATGATAAAATTCTTTAAAAAAATGAATATACTTAATAATACATTTGGATCTGACAGACAAATAAATCCATGAACTGAACAAAGGGCAATACAGATTTCCTGCTCTGAAAATAGATTGAAAACAAAAAACTGAGCTGAGACATTCAGAAAAATACAACAACAAATAATGCAGATGCAGAAAAAGAAGAGAAAGAATATTGGGCTGGAAAAAATGCATAAATAAAGTGATGCCTGAAAACCTCCTATTTTGGCCATAAGGCATAAACTTGTATTTAAGAAGTTGAGTGAACTCCATTGAGGATAAACACATTGGAATATATACCAGTATATATTTAAAAAAAAAAAAAAAAAACTACTTAAAAAAAGAAAAAAATATCTTGAAAGCAACTAGGCAAATCTACGCCTTTCCTCGAGGGGATCAACAATTCCAGTGATGGTGAGCTTTTCATCTATAACCATGTGGCACAGTTTTCAAGAGTTTAAAGGACTGTCAACTCCAAATTTTATATCCAGTGACGCTATCCTTTACAAGTAAAGGGGTAAATATAGACATTCTTAGAGACAAGGAAACCAGGAGAATTTGTCTCCAGTAGACCTATGCCTAAAGATTAACTAAAGGAATTCTTCAAATTAAAATATAATGATAAAAGTAAGAGCTTGAGACTTTAGGATACTGAAAAAATAGAATAATATAATGAATAAAAAGAGGAGTCAACATAACAGGATATCTTTTTCTTCATACGTTTTTTCCATTATGTTTGATGTTTGAAGCAAACGAGTTTAATATGGTGCTCAATGTATGTACAGAAAATATCAATGGCATTTATACATAAAATGTGGAGAGTATAAATGGATCTACATGAAAATACGGTTTTTATATTCCAGTTGAAGATTTTAATGTCAGTACCAGTAGACAGTAATATATTATTACATGTATATAGTATTAGCTAGAGCAACAACTTTTTAAAAAGAGGAGAAAAGCTATACAAAGAGATACAATAGAAAACAATACACAATACATATGAATCAAAATTAATCTCCTTAATAATTTTCCTCATACGGAACAGAGGAATAGGGAAATAGGACCGAAACTGAGAGGAAACAGACAGAAACAAATAAATGCCAGAGGCTTAAGTCTTATATATCAATAATTATTTTAAGTGTAAATGGTCCAAGGGCATCAATTAACATGCCATGAAAGGATGAATGGATATATAAACAATATTCAGCTACATGCTGTCTACAAAAACTCACTTCAATATAAAATATAAGTAGAGTCTAAGTAAAATAGTGAAAAAAAAAGAAAAACATTAATTTAAAAAAATAAAAGTGGGTAAGATACAATCTCCTTTGTTGGCTTTCCTTGCTTCATGTCTACATATTAGAATGACCCAGGACTATGTGCTCAGACTTCTTTTTATAAATACAGTCAGTCACACGCCTTGAAATAAAATCCATATACTGAAGATGCCCACATTTATATCACAATCTATGATCTCTCTTCAACTGCCTATTCCATATCTTAGAATGCACATCACTTATGACTGTCAAATGCACATAGTGTATCTTTATAACACGTATTCCTGAGAACAAACTCAGTGTTGTAATGCTTAACATACTTATTTTTCGGGTACCGACTCTTTTAATTTGACCGAATCTTTCCCGAAAATATACAGTTTTACTTGTGTTCTGTTCACAAGAAGAATTGAATTATAAGCACCATCAATCATTTTATTGGCATTTGAAAAATCTACTCATAAAAAATACTTCATTTTACTGAAATCAACATATTTTAACCTTGCTATACTCCCCCAAAATATTAAAGGAAATATAATAATCTACCTTTGCATTGAGGTGGTTCTGTCCAGTTTCCGTTTACACACATCACTTCTTCATCCCCAAACATTTCATAAGGGTTCCTACATTCATAACGTACTCTCTCACCAGATGCATATTTACTCATCTGTCTCGACACTATATGAGCGTTTTGTACTGTGGGTGGATTCGCACAGGAAGTGTCTGAATAGAAAAAAAAAGTGGTTCCCCCTCGTGTTCATTTTGAGTAGCAAATCAACCAATACAATTACAAATATATTTCAACATGAATTTAAAATAAACAGAAAATCTCTTATCAAATATTTTGTTGATTTTAATAAATTTAAATGTAGTATTGAGGAAAAGACATAAAACTATTTTTTGTAAGGTACAAGCTTTGATGTTTTAAATTTCTTCTTCATCCTTCTCTGGAACACTGACAGACCATTTTTTTTTTTTTCCTTCTGAAAGCCTGTGTAAATGAATGTTTTCCTGGGTATCTCTCTTTGAGTTTGAGTAGAAAAAACATTACCATTTCTATTTATTTAACATTAATTTATAAAATGCAAAAGTCAGCATAAATAGATTATGGGATATCGGATTGTGCTTTGCAATCATCTTGCTTATACATTTTAGCCTCTTAAAAATAAACACAAATAGACATTTTCTTAGCGAATAAGCAAAGAATTAAAAACACATTTTGAAAATGACCCAAGTTAAAAGAGAGGAAGGATGGTTAATCAAAAGATCCAAATTGGAGATGTGGAAAAATAAAAGAAAATAAGTCTACAATAATAAAAATAACTTCAGATAATTTAATTGCCAATGAATAAGGATACTATGCTGAACAATGCAAAATTCATCAGAGAGTTTCACGTCCATGTGTAGTAATAACAGGCTATAGCAGTGCTTCTCACACAGAAGTGTGCATAGAATTCCCTGGAGGGGTTGGTAAAACAGTTTCAGGGTTCTATTTCGAGACTTTTGATACCATATGTCTAGAATGAGCTTATGGGATTTTACTTTCATTTCAAACAATCTCCAAGAAGATGATGATGCCACCGGTTTAGCAACCACACTTTGAGAATTACTGAGCTAAGATTAATCATCAAATATTCAGTTCCATCTTTTTATTTTTAGGCATATGCCCACTTTGTTCTGCCCTAAAAACTTAATTTATGTCTGTTTTAATGATGTTAGAGACAATTCTTTATTTTATTGCCTAAGACAGTCTATATAAATAAATTGTACTTATATATTTATTTATTTATTGGAGATTTAATCTCACTCTGACACCCTGGGTGGAGTGTAGTGGCACAATCTTGGCCCACTTCAATCTTCATCTCCCTGCTTCAAGTGATTCTCCGGCCTCAGCCTCCCGAGTAGCTGGGACTTCAGATGCATGTCACCATGCCCCGCAATTTTTTTGTATTTTTAATAGAGACGGGTTTTCACTATGTTGGCCAGGCCGGTCTCGAACTCCTGACCTGAAGTGATCTGCCCCCCTTGACCTCCCAAAGTGTTGGGATTACAGGCATGAGCCACTGGACCAGGCCCATGCATTATATAAATAAATTTTAAGAATTCATCAAAGTACCTCTGCATGTTGGCCTTCCTGTCCATCTGCTATTAATGCATGTTACAGTACTGGGTCCATCCATTTTGTAATATGTTGCACAAGTGTAAGTCACCTGCTCACCCAACTTATATGAATCCTTCTTCTCTCCCATGGGTATGGCATTTTCAAAGCTTGGTAAACTGAGACAATCTGTTTCTGAAATAGGAAAAATATGTATTTGTTCAGCAAATCTTTAAAAACAGGTTACGTACAATGCATGTAATGTATTCTAAAATAGAGATATATAGAATCAATGAATACTGTACAACATTTTGCTTATAACTTGAGGAAATATATTGGCCATTTTCTCTTAATTATATTAAATTCTTCTAAATCTATTAAAAATACAAAATAGGAATGATATTAGAAGCCTCAAGAGATATTGGTAGCCATAGCACTTGAGATTACACATTTTTTTGTTCACATTATTTTTTTTCCATACTTGCCACCTGATATGGTTAGGCTTTATGTCCCCACCCAAATCTCATCTTGAATTATAATCCCCAGATGTTGAGAGAGAGACCTGGTGGGAGGGGATTGGATCATGGTGGCAGTTTCCCACACGCTGTTCTCATAACAGTGAGTGAGTTCTCACAGGATCGATGGTTTAATAAGTGTTTGGAAGTTCCTCCTTCGCTCACTCCTCTCTCTCCTGCCACCTTGTGAAGAAGGTGCCTGCTTCCCCTTCAGTGGTAATTGTAAGTTTCATGACATCTCCTCAACCATGCAAAACTGTGATCAATTAAAATTTTTTCTCTTATAAATTACCCAGTCTCAGGAAGTTCTTTACGGCAGTGTGAAAACAGAATAATACACCAATTATGTGTGTATTGTATGTATTATTTCCAAATGTTTTGCTCCTGTCAAATATGAAATATTTATAATAATTTCGTAAATATTTTAGAAAATATAGGGAAATTGTTGATAAACTGACAGAAAATTGAATAATGATGAGATTGATGAGTAGAGGCAATTGTGCCCTAAGAACAGAGATGAGAAGTCTGAGACTATACATCAGAGGATGCTTAAAGTTCACACAAGATGATGTAAAAATGAACCAATTTGGCTTATAAAGTCAAATGTTTTAATTACTAGAGTTATAATTTTCCACAACAATCCAGAATACTCAAGAAAACCTTATGAAATTCTAGAGTCACTGTTTTCTTCTTATTGGTAAGACGTACACTTTGAATGAAGAATATTTATCGTATATATAATAAAATTCAATACACCATACTTATGCATGATGGAGGGCGAGACCATTTTTCTCCTAAGCATTTTGCAATTGCAGGCCCAGCAATTCCAAAACCTCCAGAACATTTGTACGTAACTTCTTCTCCATACTGATAACTGTCTGACGTGTGAGCTACAACACCATGAGAAATCTCAGGTGGAGATTTACAAGGAAGGCCTTAAAAAAAAAAGAATGAATTCAGGTTTCACTAACTCAGAAATTTAATTTTATGTGCCTGTTTTTATATTGAGTGGTTACATTTGATAAGAAACAACACCGGAGCTACTATGATGTTGCAGAGAAGTACACAAATATTTCCTAAAACCAGCCTTCTGGTGTCTGTCTATCTATCCGACTGTCACCAACTGAGGAAGGACTTGAAACTAAAAATAGCAATACATTTAAGAAAAGGATCATCAATGCATCAGTAGGGAATGCCTCTGTAAACTTACTCGTGATAATAAGATACACATTTATGGTTAACAATCCAGATAAAACATAATATATTGTAGGAAATCAGAAGGAGCATTGTAGGAAGAATGTAAAAGAAGTTTTAAAACATAATGACAAAGCAAACATGACAACTTGCAGAACAGGTTTGGCTATGTCCACACCCAAATTTCATCTTGAATTGCAGTTACTATAATCCTCATGTGCTGTGGGAGGGACCTGATGGGAGTAAAGTGAATCACTGGGGCGATTAATCCCTCTGCTGCTGTTCTCATGATTGTGAGTGAGTTCTCATGAAATCTGATGGTTTTATAAGGGGCTTTTCTGTCTTTGCTTTTCTCTGCACTTTGCTTTGCATTTTTTCTTCCTGCCATGATATGAAGAAGGACATGTTTGCTCACCCTTCCATCATAGTTATAACTTTCCCGAGGCCTCTCCAGCCTTACGGAACTGTGAGTCAATTAAACCTCCTTCCTTTATAAATTATGCAGTCTTGGGCAGTTCTTTATAGCAGTATGAGAACAAACTAACACAGTAAATTGGTACCACAGAGAGTTGGGTGCTGCTGTAAAGATAACCAGAAATGTGGAAGCCTCTTTGGGACTGGGTAAAAGGCACAGGTTAGAACAGTTTGTATGGGTCAGAAGAAGACAGGAAAAAGTGAAAAAGTTTGGAACTTGCTAGGGATTTGGAGGGCTCAGAAGACAAGAAGATATGG